TACAATGCTTGATAAGAAATGTACTCATTATCTTGCCCATGTAATTGTAACCCCTCTGTACAGTATTTTCACAATAAAAATAAAAATAATTTTTTTAAAAAAAAGAGTCTCACAGACTTTACTACTCAGGCTGTCTTTGAACCATGATCCTCAGATCTCAGGCTCCTGAGTAGTAGGATTACAGGTGTGAGCCATCAGCACTTGGCTGTACAATGTAACCTTTTAAAAACAGTGTCACATTCAGTATTTCAAAAGCAGTCCACAATAACCCTATAACCAGAACAGTTATATCTAATATACATATTATCATCATCATCATCATTACTCCTAACCCTGAACTAACCATTTTACATATATTATTACACTGAATCACTATGTGTCCTATAAAATTTGTTTTATTATTAGCACCTGATATACAAGTAAGGAAATTAAACATTAGAGAATAAAAAGAGTTCTATAGACACAAAGCTAATTTTGGGATTTAAACTCTTATGCCTGACTAGCAGGCCAGTAGTATTTTTATTGCTAGGATAGCTAGTAGGTAAGTGGCAATTTTGCATTCTTTCTCTCACAAAAACATTGTATCTAACTCTTAGCCTTCTGTTTGCTAGATCATTTTTAGGCTTGTTCTGCTTTAGTCAAGCTATGGATTTTATTCTATGTGCAGGGGTCCTTTGAATTCTGTTTTCTCACTTCTGAATAGGTGTAGATTACTACAGAACTTCTGAGTGACCTATCTGCCTTGCTTTCCTGTTTTTCTCTCCTCTTGTTATCAAGTGTTCTCATTTCTCTCAATCTCCTAGAATCATACAACTATATGAGATGGCTGGCAATCTGTCATTCGAGGAGACCTGGGAAGATGGTATAGTTCCACACATCCCTGTTAGAAACTCCATCAAAAGATATTATTTTCTTTGTCACCATGGTTCTATGTTCAAGAGGCCTATCTTTAAAAATCTAATGGGCCAGGAAGAAATGTCAACTTTTATTTAACACCTAAAATGAAATTTGTTCAGTGGATCATGGCAAATGGTGACTTTTGTGAACTGAGGTATGTGTAAGTGTGTGTGCATGCACACATGTGAAGGCATCATAAGCCCTAGTGAATAAGAGAAAAAATTGGCAGAACAGAAGTATTCCCTAGACAGACTTTCTCACCACTGTCTGCTATACATTTTCCCATTGCAGAGAGTGTGTTTAGAATTTAAGAAAAGGTTTAAGTTTGACAGTTATGGGAAAGAAACAATAACTGTGGAAGGAGTCTCTCTCTCTCTCAACTTCTAGTGAGGTTCTCCTTGTTCTACATATGAGGGAACATAACCTTTAAGTGTATAATTTATTATGTCTCTAAGATACCCAGAGAAAATGAAAGGATGAGCATTGGAAGGACACTGATAGGTTTTGCATGTACTTTACTATCTGTGCAATCTTTGGTATGTTTACTGAGCTTTTCTACCTTCTTGAAAAAAGAATAATAGAGTCTATGGAGAGCTTAAATAGTATAATCTTTAAGAAAGACTAGGCCAAAGCCCAACAAAATCAATACCAGGAAATGGGTACATGCAAGAGGGTGATGGGGCCAAGAGAATAGGGGCAGAAAATGGATGGGGAAGGCAGGGGAGAATGCAGTCAAGAAGATACTGTATGTATCACAATACTAAGAAAAGTAAGGAAAGGGTTGATTCAAAGGGGGGGTGAGAATGTTGAAAGGGTGACACTGTTCAAATGCATTGTATTCATAAACTGCTTTGTTATATGGTACCTCCTTTTACAACAACTTAATGATAATTTTTATATAATTAATTGTAAAAAGAAGAATCAAAATTTGTCTAAAAAATCTGGTCTTTGTCTTCAATTTTTGAGAAGTAATCATTGCTTACCAAAGATCCTTGACCTAACTACACAGTATCAACATGATTTAGAGTAGGAGATTTGGGTCACATGGTGGCAATGGACCTCAAAACTGAGATGAAACATATGGGCAATTGGTCAGTCGTGTCTATGTAATAGAGTCTTAATAAAAATCTCTGAACCCCATGGCTTGGATGAGTGACTCTCTTTGGCAATACTTCATGAGAACTGTCACACATCAATGTAAGAAGACGATAATAGATACTCCACATTTGCTGCTTGTAAATTCTATGAAATGTGTATCTTCTCTTGGCTGATTTTAATTGGTATCTTTTCCCTGTAATATACCATAACCATGACTATAATAGCTTTAAGTAAGTTGTGTGAGTCTTTCTAGCAAATTATTTTACATGGAGATGATTGATAAACCTTTTATACTGGTAGTTCATATAAGAAAATGAGTATGATCTTGAAGATAGACCTCTAACTTTGTAGCTGGATTTAAAGGTAACCTAACTTTTCTCATTTCTAAAATGGAGATTTATCTTCTTAACTATTGGAAGGTTGATACAAGGGAATAAATGGAATGAAATATTGACAGGATATAATACACAGTAAGTTCATTGATAACAGTAGATATTGTTATTGATCAACAATAATTATCAAAAATAGTCACCATAATCAATATTCTTTTACATGGTTTACTAAAAATTAATTACTTCATTCACACAACATTTCTCAGTCCTACACAGCTTTTACAACTAGTTAATGGCTCCATTATAGATGGGAAATTGGGAGACTAGAGCAGTTAAGTGTCTTATTTATTAATTCAACAGACACATGTTGAATGGCTATGTCATGGGAAGCATTACACTAAGTGTTAGAGACACACTAGTAAGCAAAAAATATATGACTGATGAATAGTCCTGTCTTTAGCACTATATATAAGCAATTAATATATGAGCACTGATGACATTCACCATCTTGTAAGACAATCACAGAAGAAATAAATGTCATAATATAAAACTAATTTTTGTGCTGATCCTGGAACTTGAACCTAAGGCCTGGGTGCAGTTCCTGAGTTCCTTTTGCTCAAGGATAGTTCTCTACCACTTTGAATGACAGCTTGACTTCTGGCTGCATTTTTAGAAGTTTATTGGAGATAAGAGCCTCATGGACTTTCCTCTCCTGTTTGGCTTTCAGTCCTCAGATTTCAGCCTTCTGTGTAGCTAGGAATTAGGTGTGAGCCACAGGCACACATCTCAGAACTAATTTTTTTATAAATAAGTTGGGAACAGTAGTGCAAGCCTAGCTACTTGGGAAAGGTAGAGATTAGGAGACCACATTTAGAAACCATCTCCCTGCATAAAAGTTTGTGAGACTGAAGGGGCCGCCGCCGGGTGATGCGGTGATCCGCTGCGGCAGCCCCAGAAGCTGAGCGGGCCCCGGCCCTCAGCCCGTCCCGCCGGACCCGCGCTCCTGTACATCCCGTTTTCTCCGGCCGACCCGCGACCGCCCAGGCGGCCTCAGGCCTCCTGGTCCCTTCCCCGTCCCTCCCCGGTCCCCGTCCCAGCCCCCGGGGGCTACTGCCTCCCACCATGGCTCTGAAGAGAATCCACAAGGATTGAATGACCTGGCACGGGATTCCCCAGCACAATGTTCAGCCGGTCCTGTTGGAGATGACATGTTTCATTGGCAAGCTACAATAATGGGACCAAATGACAGTCCCTATCAGGGTGGAGTATTTTTCTTGACAATTCATTTCCCAACAGATTACCCCTTCAAACCACCTAAGGTTGCATTTACAACAAGAATTTATCATCCAAATATTAACAGTAATGGGAGCATTTGTCTTGATATTCTACGGTCACAGTGGTCTCCAGCACTAACTATTTCAAAAGTACTTTTGTCCATCTGTTCTCTGTTGTGTGATCCCAATCCAGATGATCCCTTAGTGCCTGAGATTGCTCGGATCTACAAAACAGATAGAGAAAAGTACAACAGAATAGCTCGGGAATGGACTCAGAAGTATGCGATGTAATTAAAGAAATTATTGGATAACCTCTACAAATAAAGATAGGGGAACTCTGAAAGAGAAAGTCCTTTTGATTTCCATTTGACTGCTTTCTATGAGCCCACGCCTCATCTTCCCCTGTGCACATGTTTACCTGATAAAACAGCAGTGCTGCGTGTTGTACATACTTGGAACAACAAACTAGAGATACTGTACTTCTGTACCAACATTGCCTCCTAGCAGAGAAGTATGTGTGTGAAAAGCCAATCTTCCAGGCGTAACCTAGGTGTGAGACAAAAAACTTCACTTATTGGCAGAAATTTGGATAACGGCAAGGTGCGAGGGATGGTGGGCACATGGTGTGTACTTGGATGGGGGAAAGCTCCACTGGCCTGTAGGAAATTGTTTTTAAGTGGAATCCATTTAAAATCAAAACCGTTATGAACAGCAAGGTGAAGAACATGAAGTTTTTTCTGTATTCATTTTCTTCGAAGGACCTACAACTTAGGTGAAAGTTATGACCAACCAGATTAAACTACCCACATCCTGTATTCTAAGGTCTAAGTTTAACTGGTCGACATTTAAATGGATTGGAGCTATTAGTACAAAAAGTGTGATGGGCTTTGTTTCCAACTCTTTTACATTTCCCTACCCTTTCAGTCTTTCATCCTCCCTCTCCCTCTCTCTCTCTCTCTCTCTTTCTCTTTTTTCTCTCTCTTTTTCTTTCTCTCTCTTTCCATATTCTTTGGTTTGTATGTGGTTTCTCAGTTAATACATAGCTAATAGCTCTTATTTTTCTTATGTTTTTAACTGCTTAGGTCTATTTGGATGTAAGGGTGAAAATTCATTTGATGGAAATACTTGTGTATATTTAAAGACCCAATTGCTCCTCTGGAGCTTGTACGTTCAAGAATGATTAATCTGTGTAATAAACTGATTACTACAGTCATTACATATAATTTTGTGTGAATAGGCTTTTTGATTTTAAGAACTTTGTCTAACTGAGATTAGTGGTGGGTGTTCCCTCACCCCTGAAATGTTTTCATTTATACTGGTTGCATTTTAAAATCATGAAACAATTGCAGTTTACATAGTTGAAAAAAATACCTTGAATAATTTTACTGAACAAGATAAAAGGCATCAGCTTAAAGGCATTTTTGTGAAATGTGTATGTGCAGCATTCCAGGAACATGACTGTTACACTAAATAAGAAATTTGCTTTGTTAATGAAACTAAGCTGCATCTCACCAAAACCTTGTGACATTCCCTTGGTACATAGAACATAAAACACGAAGGCATTGCTATTTGGTAAGTGAAGCCTCTGTGACTGTAATTATATAGAGCAACTCTGACCAAACTTGGGAACATGAGCACAATCTTGTATTGGAGAGTCTACGTAATTACTTTGCACTAACATTTGCAGGATGTTCATCCAATTTTAAATTGTACTGTATGTGGCTTTTTAAAGTCTTCCCTTGACTCTAGTAAAATGTAGTTTGAAACTTGTAAAAAAAAAAAAGTTTGTGAGACTTCATCTCCTACAATAGCTGGTTATGGTAGCAGGCACCTCTATGAGGGAAGCACAATGGCTGGACTCAGTAGTGTATGCCTGTTTCCCAACAACAAAAGGAAGCACAAATAAAAGCATCACAGTTCAAACTTGCCTACCAGAAAGCAAACTCTGTCTCAAAAATAACCAATAGAAGAAGGACTTATGGAGTGGTTCAAATGGTAGAGTGATAAGTCTGTGATTCAAGCCCTGCAAAAAAGATGAATGTTTTTATGAAAAGAGAAGATATGGGGGAAAAAGAGAAGATATGGTTAAAATGATCATATGTGACATGTGTATGACTTGAACCTTCACAAAAACTATAGCAAAACTATACCCTAATAAGGTAGCTAAACAAGCTGGCATACCTTGGACTAGAGGGCTTCCTTGGACATAGGATTTTTGGTGCTAAACCTAGAACAACCCTAGACAAACTAAGATGGTTAGTTACTCTAAAATCTAGTCCTTTATGGTATGGCTTGTCCCATTAGAGTAAGTCCCACATGTGTGAACTTTGTCAGGATTCATTTCTAATAAGTTAGAATAAGAATAAGGAATAAGATAATACCAAAGGCCACACATGGAGAAATCATTGTTAAGTATACCCTGGAGTCTAATTTATTTTTGCAACAAACTCCAGACCCTTTCTGGTGAAAGTGTACTCTGGTTAGAGAAGAAAACTGAAGTATAATCAGGAGTCAGATGAAGAAGCACTTGCTATAGGTTACTTTAATAGCTATAGCCCTTGCTCACACTTTTACTAGAGCAAAAAAATCATGTTAAAATCACCTGCAGTTCCAAAAGCAGCTAATTTTATATATCACACAGAAACAGCTGGGGAGCAAGAGAAAGCTTTCATCTAGCAAAGGCAATTGCCACCAGAACCAAGTAGAACAGCTCTTCTCCTATCTAGGGCCAGCTGCATCCTGAGCCCTCCTCACATGTCATTTTGAAAAAAGAAAAACCAACAAAAGTATTTCTACATCCAGAGAGCCAGAATTACACATTACCACTCTGGAATAGTAGTTGAAAACAATAAGACCCTAGAGTGTACCTGGGAGAAAGTACTGGTTTTGATAGTGGGAAGAAGCCAAGTATTACAACAAATATTTCACAACAGTGTTATGGTTGAAAAAATTGTCATACTTGAGACAAGGTGACATTTCTTGTCATCTCAAGGAGACCTGCTACACCGATATCTAGAGTACAGTTCTATCATATCATTTGCTATCACTTATGTTATTTTCATTTCTTTCATTAACATGCATAATTATATAAATTAGTACAGTGCATTGTAATATTTCCATACATGCATACAATGTCCAATAGTCATGTCTAGTCTCCTTTGTACCCTCCTTGTCCACATGTCTTTTGTCTCTCACCATAGTCTCTTTCCAAAGCCCTAATGTCCTTCTTCTGTTTTTATGTCATTTATTTTGTGTGCTTTTTTGCATGTGTGATATTTGCTTTTTGAAGTCTGACTTATATAATGTTCCACCTTATTTGCTGTAAATGGTAGGATTTCATTTTTCTATGTGTCTGGATAGTTCTCCATTGTGTTCACAAAACACATTTTAAAAATTTATTCATATGTTCACAGGTACTGATTCTGATTCTATAACTCATTCTATAGTCTGATTCTATACTGGGCTATTGTGAATTGTCCTATGATAATCAGGTAGGCAGGGACTTCTGTAAGGTGACTTTGATTTCATTGGCATATACAGGAGTTATATAGCTAGAACATATGGTATATTTACTTGTATTTTTTTGAATAATTTGTATACTGATTTGACAGTTACTGGAATTTACATTCCCACTAACCATGTGTAAAGGTTTCATTTTTGCCCTGCATGGTAATTTATGCCTGTGATCTCAGATAGTAGGGAGGCACAGAAAAGAGAAGATCACAATTCAAGGTTACACTGAAACTCACTCAGCTGAGACCCTCACTCAAAGACAACATTGGGTGGAGTGATACACACCTGTAATCATAGGTACTCAAAAGAGAAAGGCAGAAAGATCAAGGTCTAAGGCTCACCTGGCCAAAAGAACAAAATCTTATTTGAAAACATATTAAAATTTAAAAGGTCTAGCAAGCATGCTGTCCTGAGTTGAAGCCCCATTGGGGAAAAAAAACAATTTGTTCCGTTGTCATTAGTTTTAGTTTAATTTTGTCAATCCTTGGGCTTGAACTCAGGGCCTGGGCACTGTCCCTAAGCTTTTTTTTTTGCTCAAGGCTAGCACTCTACCACTTGAGCCACAGCACCATTTCTGGCTTTTTCTGTTTATATGGCACTGAGGACTGAATTCAGGGCCTCATGCATTCTACCACTAAGCCACATTCCCAGCCCTGTTTCTGTATTCTTGATGATAGTCATTGTGACTGGGGTGGGGCAGAGGCAATCATATGTTTTATTTTATTTTTATTTTTCTGTTTTATTTTGTTTTAATATTTGTTTTGGTAGTATCTGAGTTTAAACTCAGGGGTTTGTGTTTGTTTTTGGTGCCCCACCACTTGAGCCAAGCCTCTACCTTGTGTTTTTGTTAATTCTTGCAGAATTTTCTGTCTCAACTGGCTTTAAACAGATATTCTTCAAATCTCAGCCTCATTAATAGCTAGGTGGCCTGTAACAGGTCAAATATAATTTGAAGTTCAGGAGTTTTCTACTGAGGTGCTCAACTAAGTAAAGAACTCTCTGTTTCCAGCCGAGAGTCAATTGTTACTCCTCTTCCCTTTCTTTTCTCTTCCTTTATTTTTCTTCTTCTTTCCTCCCACTTACTTATTTTTTGTCGGTTGTGGGGCTTGAACTCTGGGCCTGGTCGCTGTCCCTGAGCTCTTCAGCTCAAGGCGAGCACTCTACCGCTTGAGCCACAGTGCCCATTCTGGTTTTCTGGTGGTTTATTGGAAATAAGAGTCTCCTGGACTTTTCTGCCTGGGCTGGCTTTGAACCCCAATCCTCAGATCTCAGCCTCCTACGTAGCTAGGATTACAGGCGTGAGCCACCAGCACCTGGCTTTCCTCCCACTTTTTAAAATAAGACAGAAAGTATCAAAGTCTTCTAAGAAACAATAAATGGTTGGGGAAAACAACCATTTTTACTTAAAAATACTTTCTGGTGTACTAACTCATTACTTTTCCTAAAACTAAGATAGCATAGAGTGGTAGTGGTTAAGAGCCTGCGCCTTTGGAATGGAGCAAACAAAAGTAAGACCTCGTATTCACTATGGGACCTTAGATGTGATACTTAATCTTTCTAAGCCTCAATTTTTTATCATCTGTAAAAGTGAGGATTAAATGAAGTACTGAATGTAAAATGCTTCTAGAGTGTCTAGAGCATAATAAAACAGTCATTTTACTCAATGTTGGCTATTGTTTTCATGGTTATATTATGGTTCCTCCTCCTGCTATTACTACAACTATTAACCCTCTTAAAAGACAGCAAGGGTATGATAAAATGGACTCAGGACAAGTACATTTTGTAAGACAGAGCAGAAGATGGAAAAGTGCACTGGGAAAGGCAGTTTATGCTTATTTGGGGCATTGCTCTAGAAGGCTCTTGGCTAAGGAGGAGACCAGTGGGCTTAGGAAGGTTGAGAAAAGTTGGAGGAGGAGAAGCTTCCAGGGAATAAGGACCGTGGGGACCTCTTAGACCCACTTTACAACTTTGCCTATCTGAACATTTATTGAAAAATCTTTGCACATTCGTTTGTGTACATTTTCTTTTCTCTTCCTAGACTGAAAAGGTACTAGAGTTCTGGATAGGAAAAATATGAGCCATTTAATCATCCCCAAACGGGACAGTGTCTAATTGTGCATGTAGAAATAGTATCACAGCTGAAAATAGGTTAGAGACATTCAACACACTCCTTACAGTTAGTGAGAAAATACTGGTAATCTACTTAAATGAAAATCAATTTTAGTGGCTTCTTTATTACAGTTTTTATGGTTTGCAAAGTCCCATCCTTTTCATGCTGGAGTGTGAATTGTACATAATTCTATATCAATGATAAATTTTCCTTTAAAAAGACATGAAGGTTTAAACTTTTTTTATTAAGTATTATTCCCCTAGACTGTCTGGTATTCAAGCTGTTTAATTTGTTAAGCCACATCTCTGATTCACAAAACTTGAAGTGACACTAATCAGGCTCAGCTATTTTCATTATTAATGTACACCAGTGCTAATCTAATGTGACTTGACTCTTTAGCCATAATATTAAGGATTTTCTTCTCCCTACAGCAGGATTTAAGATTACCAATAAAACTGAACAGTTCTGTGTTATCTTCTTATTTTACTGATGTGATATTCACTGAAGATTAACTGGCACCAATAAGTAGGTCTTTATTTTAAGACATACATTTACTTCTTAAAACATACATTTACTTCTGATTGTTTTAAGGAGAATTTT